AAGCAGAGGGGTTGTGGCGGCTGGGAGGGACAAAAAGCTGCTCGGCATGTGAGGGCTGGAGACCGATGTTACAGGACGGAGGAGAGGCGGAGAGTTCAGGGAGACAAAGTCAACCGCAGATTTATTCAAGTCCAAAAAGGAAGTTTAAAAACCTAAAATCAATAAAAACTCAAACATGGATCCTGATTATTCACTCAATTAACAAACTTAGGACCTAATTTTGGACCTCCTGCTCGCCGTAGTAGATAAATATCTAAACGCCCAGAGGGTGGAGCGGCTGAGACAACAGACGTTAAAAATAAAACCCACATTCAGGAGTCGGCAGCGTTTGGCTACCTGTCTGAGCTGGACCGCTGCTGCGCCTGTTAGCGTTTCACTGCCATTAATTCTCATTCCTATTTTTACAGCGTGTCGACAGCGACGACAAACACGCGGCGGTGACGGCAGCTGAGAGCTTCAGTTTGGCTGAGGTGGGCGCACAAATCACTCCAACTAGCCTAGCCTAGCGGGACATTTTAGGTGACGCCACATGCTGAACGCTTTAGCGGTAACCATTTCAGCTCGCTTCATTCAGCGCCGGAGAGCAGAGTGACACGACATGTGTGTGTGTGTGAGAGTGTGTGTGTGTGTGTGTGAGAGTGTGTGTGTGAGAGTGTGCTCTAATACTAAGAAAACTGGGCTTCGACTCTCCCCGACAGCTGGTGCCCTCTGGGTAATCTGGCCTCGTCCAATCAGAAGCGAGGATTAGCAGGCCATTGTCTTGGCACAAGTGTGTGTTTGTCATATCTATGTGTGGCCTGGGAATATGTGTGCATGCGTTTTTATGTGTGTGTGTGTGTGTGTGTGTGAGAGGGTGATGAGTGTAACAGTAGACGAGGAGGCCGCTGTGGAGATCAGCCTGGCGCTGCTGTACAGCTGCACCGCTGCAGCGACAAAGAGCTGCTTCATGTCTCTGATTTTACTGAGGAAAGTTTGTGATTCAGAGTTTTTCATATTTTATAATATTTCACACATTTATCTGTTGTCCCTGTTTGTCCTCATACACTGTCGTTGTTCCGCTCAGCAGGGGTTCGATCCTCGCTGCAGCTCTCACCGCCGCGGCTCATCGCAGAAAGGTGGAGTGTGAACGCTGCGAGCTTCTTCACATGCACAGAGAGAGGGGAGGAGACCTTTAACCCCAATTTCACCACATCTGAAACGGCTCCGATCCAAAATTCACCATCCACCAATTCCTACCGGATCTGTTTGTGAGGTGAATTTCGTGGCCGATTACGGACAGTAGGAATCACGAGAACTCACAAGAACCCGCAGATTCACGTTCAATCACGCGATAACGAGTTGTCTCTATAAAGACAGACACATAGACATATAAGCAGTAGATTGTGTCCTTCCAGAGGAGGAAATCTACTTCTAGACTTCTAGAATCAGCATCTCCTCATCCATGGTGTCATCGGGGTGAAATGACGTCTAAAAACCTTTCACTTGTTCGTCTCCTCCTGAAACACAGAGTGTTTTATTTTGAAAAGAAGCCGGATGTTTTATTTTGTGTCTGTGCCCGACTTCCTTTCCAGCACGGGTTAATCTGTGCTGAATTTATCCGCCATGCTCTGGCACCCGGAAAAAATATAGAGGATACGAACTTTTAGGAGACGATCAGGATGAAGGTGGAGATCGGGGGTAAACCTTGAGATGTTGTTTAAAACTGAGAATACAGCATCTAAAGTCGGTGTAAATTGACACGTTAACTTGAATGGTTACGATTTCGGAGGATAGGAGACGATCAGGATGAAGGTGGAGATCGGGGGTTACCGCCTCGGCTCGTGACAGAAAGGTGAAGCGTGAACGCTGCAAACTTCTGCATTCTTCATATGCACAGAGACCTTTACTGTTGGGTCTTTGCCGCTGCCGTCCTCGCCAAGATCTTTCAAGCATGCACATGAGAAGAAAGAGAGATGCACCCCCCACCCCTCACTTTCTTTGGGTTCTGCAGAGCGGACCGGGTCAGAACTGTCAGAACTGAAAAACCTGATCAGAAAAGTGAGAGAGCTTCGATCAGCTGAGCTCTCTTTTCTGTCTGATGATTAAATTTCTGCACGTGAACTTCAGCTCGCTGTTTCCACAATGACCAAGTGACCCAGCACCAGAACTCACTTCATCATCATCATCTTCTTCATCATCATCATCATCCTGGTCCAGGCTGTGCACCCTGGCAGTTGTTTTTATTGAAGTCTAATGGCATGACTCACTCCTTCCTCCTCCTCCTCCTCCTCCTCCTTTTCTTGATGATGGCCAAAGAGGCAGAGGGAGCGGAGCGAGCCGACTCTCCTCTGATTTCTGACTCGCACAAACACACAACAACATATGCAGGCTCGGTTTGGCCGCTCACGCTCACACTGACTGATAAACTTCAGGGTGGGCAACGTTAGAAAACTCTCAGAGCCAAAAATGAAAAAGAAAAAAAAAACACGGAGAGAAAAATGAAGAAGAATCAAAACAACTTTAGAGGGAGAGAGAGAGAGGGAAGAGAGAGAGAGAGGGAGAGAGGGACACGTTCAATCTGTGCAGCTCCGGGCAGAACGAGGGTTCAAAGATGGAGAGTGAGATTTTGACTCAAACTGAAAATGAAACTTGTTTTTCTTTCTTCTTCCATTAAAAGCATCAAAGTGAGTTTCATCACTGCGTCCTCAGGAGTAAACCGTAATGAGCGCCGACTTCTCCGTGACCTCCGCTCTGATGTGGTTACAGCGTCTCCTCTCACAGACCAGGACTCGGACTCGTGTCAGCTGAGCGCTCGACCTGCAGCGAGCAGCCGTGATTCACTCCCTCCAGCTGCGGGTGGAAAGAGTTGGCCGCTGCGGGCTACCGTAGGAGACAATAAGTGCTTATTTGACTGTCCTGACAAGTTGGGAGGTTGGAGATTTAGTACCTTGTGGGTTCGAACCGCATGAGCGTAAATTAAAGGAGCATTCCAACAATTTTATGGATGAAGTTCAGTTAACTGGTGGTGATGAACGGCGCTCTGCTGACTGTTTCCTGGGATTAGGAGTTTTATTAAGTGTAAAAAGAAGCGAATAACGGCCTCATTACAGACACTTCACTTTAGGTTTGGAGACTTTAAACTATAAAAGATCGAGTTACAAACCGAGGAAGGTCTGCAGCTCAGGAGGGGAGGAGTCACGCCGGGATTTCTTCAACTTCTGCTAAAATCATTTCCTTTTTCAGCACTTTATAAAACACGTGTTATTAATGTTCGAACAGCTTTAAACAATATCAGACGTTAACAGTAGGGCTGCACGATTTTAGCCAAAAATAAAATCCAGATTTTTTTCTCTGAAAACTCGATTTTTTATCCTGCGACAACTTCACCAAACTTGACTTTAATAAAAAGTTTTTCCATCATCTCTGAAAACGATGTAGTTCATATGCCAAGCCAGTAAGTGGCGCTGCAACGCTGCACAGGAAATGCACCAAAGACAGAAGAAGAGTACAGAGCACGTGTATAAAGGTTGTTTTGGCGCCATAAAAGAGTAACGCTGTGGGTCACATGATCGTTTTATCTGAAACTGTGAAGTCGTACCAATTCAACACGACTGACTCGCTCTTGTCCTTTTTAACCACGAAATTATCGCCTTCTTTTCAAACGCCATGTTTGTTTACACTGGAAGGAGGAGCCTACGGTGGCCTGGAGGGGCGAGACATGATAGAGAGGAAAATCGATTTGAGGATTTTAGTTTTTTAACATCATCATAATAAAAGATTCTGATTAGGATTTAAAATCGATTTATCTTTCAGCCCTAATTCCTAGTGTCCCCTCCTTTAAATATTTCTGAGATTATTGATCCTGATAATGTTTGAGTTTAAAAACACGTCTGCATCACAGTTTAACTCATCTCATATTTAAACATCATTTTGCATCTTTTTATTTCTCAGTTTGAGTTCAATCGACTCTCAGAGTGAAAAAATAAAGTTTGTGTTCCCGTCGTTCAGATTTTTCACGAGTTTGAGCTGCAAACTGGGTCACTGAGTATTATTTATTAAAATAAATCTAAAGGCCGTGATGTTACGTAAAATTTCTTAAAGAAAATCAGAGAGCCTCCGTGACCTAAAAACCGTACCTCTTCTTGGTTTATTAATGTTGTTTTTCAGACAAACACTAAAGGCATAAACACTCTGAAAACCACCACGACTCTACGAAACAGGACGTCAAATATCTCCTCAGAAACGATCCGTTTATGTAATTCACAAGCGTCTCCTGGGAGTCCTTTAAACACCCCTCAAGTTCCCTTTGTGGAGCGAGTTTCTCAAACTTTTTAAGAGCGAGAAATCTCCGAAGAGACCAACAGGAGAGGAGACGGGAAGTGACAGCTCCGCCAGAGGTCCTGTGTTCACAGGTACGCCGTGTTCATGAGGGTGAAGAAACCTCAGCTGCACAGAGAAAGACAGCTGATAGGAGGAGAGACACGGGTTCACACGACTTCCACCACATCCGGAAACCATCACACAAGAGCTGACGGACGAACGGACAGGAACCCGGAGCCGGAGAGGCAGATCAACACCCAGTCACCGCAGACACGTCAAAGCAGAGTGACACCGGAGAGAGAGGGAGACGAGACGAGACGAGACGAGAGACGGACTGATGGAGACTTGTGTGGAAACTGTCACAATAAAGAAACGTCACAAAAACAGGAGGAAGAGGAGGAGGAGAAACCGAGAGAGAAACGTGTTTAACTGTGAAATCAGACAGAAGAGAGACTTTCAGATGAATTTTTAACCAACAGCTGGAGTGACGGTACCGTCGTCTGCTCCCCTGATATGAATATTTCCTTCACCGTGTTTAAGTCGTAATATTTTTTATGATTCAGTCAAACAGCTTTGATAAAGTTTTATGACATCTGATCGATCAACAGAGAAAATAAAGAGGCGGAGAGTTTCATGAACGAATGTAAGATGGTGTCTCTGTCTGAATGAGATCTTATTCTTCTGACTGTGAGACTGAAGTGAGTGATAGAGCAGGAACAGGTTCAGATAAAGACCGAAAACCCCGAACTTCTGTGTCTTCTGGCGAGCTGACTGTGGCGCTCTGGTGTGATGTGGCGGCTGGTTTAATGTAAGCTCATTAAGCAGATCTCCTTAGTCTGCGGATAAGCCCAGGTTAACTGACTACCTTTGATCAGATCTGCTGGATTAGCCGGCTGTTGGAGGTGCAGCCTGACACCTTGTTGTTCCTCAGGGTTAAACAGTTTATTTCAGGGCTTATAGAAGCAGAGAGACGACAAACATGTGGGATCAAATCAAGGAGGTGGAGGTCGAAATCTGGTCTCTGAAGTTTCCAAGGTGAGTTTTTTACAAGACGAATTATTTTCAGTCATCAGCTTCTCCGATTAAAAGATTTACTTTAAGGTTGAGTTTGAAACCAGAGGAGAAAACTTTACCAGTAACTTAAATCTGCAGAAATATAACAGAGGTTTGGTGAAGAATACAGACACCAGCCTACTGTAATCAGCATCTTATTAAGGAGAGAATGACTGGATTTTTCACTGTTCTAATACAGTCATTTAATACAAAAGGTTATTAAAATTCAGTTTTACATTCACTCCAAGACAAATCAATATCTCTCCATTATTAGCTCCAAATCAGGATTAATTTTCCTCAGAAAGAAGAAGAAGAAGAAGAGGAGGAGGTTTGATGACATCTCTTATCGTCTGCACGCAGAAGATTGTGTGAAACTACACAACTTAGTTTGAGAGGGAGTTTGTGTGTCCTGGTTTGTGCCTTCGAGCAACAAAGACTAATTCCCAGACGCAGCTCCTCTGCAGCGCGCCGATAAAACCTGAAGACAGAGGTCTGTGGAGGCTGATAATCTTCTTCTTCTTCTTCTTCTCCTGCTGATTCACAGCTGAACTTCCTCTAATGTCCTCACATGAATGTGGTCATGAGTTACAGCGAGACTTTAGAAACCTTCAAACCACAAATCACCTCCATGAGAGGACCTTTCCAACCTGCGCTCAGAGCTCCTCCGTCATGTGGTCAAAAGTGCTGACGACCACGAACAGAGAGAGAGAGACGGATGGACGATTGACTGACAAGCCAATAAGCCAATGGAAACGACCGCAGAGACCACAGTATCCAATTAAAAGGCTTTATGGCCTAATGAGCCACGGCAGCTGAGGGACTGAAGGGGGGGGCAGATGGAGAGAGAGAGAGAGAGAGAGAGAGAGAGAGAGAGAGAGAGAGAGAAGAGGGAGAGAGAGGGAGAGAGAGAGAGAGAGAGAGAGAGAGATGCTGATATAGATATATGATGATATAGATAGACAGATACAGATGATATAGATGGATAGATATAGATAGATAGATACATATATAGATAGATGTAGTTAGATTGATATACACAGATAAATATCAATAGATAGATATAGATTATATAGATGTATAGCTATATAGATAGATAGATGGATAGATATAGATAGATACATAGATAGATATAGATGATAAATATAGAGAGATAGATATACGTAGGTAGGTAGACAGATATACAGATAGACATAGAAAGATAAAAATATAGATAGATGATAGATATACGTAAGTATAATTAGATAGATAGACAGATAGATAGATAGATCCATATATAGTTAGATATAGATATAGACAGATAGATAGATAGATCCATATATAGTTAGATATAGATATAGACAGATAGATGTTGGTTGCATAACTGATGCTGCAAAGTTTTCTTTTTCCTGCAGCTGTAAACCAGCAGAGGAGGCGGTCAGTCTCCTCTTGACTGATCCTGCTCAGTTACCTTGGCAACAGTAAGATTCACAACCTCCAAACCATGCACACACACGCACGCACACACACACACACACACACACACACACACACACATGTTTGCGCATATTCTGTAACTCTGACACACATACATTAGTGAATATACGAGGGGCTCACAACCTTTTCAGCAGCTGGGCAGCTGTTGGTGCTGATGTCATGAGAGAGAGAGAGAGAGGGGGAGAGAACGAGAGAGAGAGAGAGAGAGAGAGAGAGAGAGAGAGAGAGAGAGAGAGAGAGAGAGAGAGAGAGAGAGAGAGAGAGAGAGAGAGAGAGAGAGAGAGAGAGGGCTGATGTAATGAGGAACAGTCAGGAAACTTGGAGCTGTCTTTTGTTGAAGCCGATGAAAGTCTTCATCAGTGAGAGGAGAGCAAGAAAGGAGGGAGAGAGAGAGAGAGAGAGAGAAAGGCTGGAAAAAGCCAGCATGTGAGGATTGAACAAAAAGGGTGGAGAGAGAAGGATAATCCAGAGAAGAAAAGAGTGTGATTGGAGGGAATCTTGGAGCGAGTATCAGCATGTAAACATAAATCAGAGACAGCAGCAGAGCCGTGCAGCGCTGCAGCTTATGGGGATGAAAATGTGATGGTTGCTTTGTAACAGGCTGGCACCGAGTTCAGCCAGAGCCTCCAGGCCTGAAACACACACTCCCCCACATCATTCACACCAGAGCCAAAATCACGCTCCATTAGGAAAAAAGTTATTAAATCCTGGAGCCGCTGTGGTCAGCTGGACGCGAGCCGCTGTTCCCGCTCTTAACTAACTTGGAAACAAGCGAAGGGGCCGAGGTGTGGAGACGACTCTGAACATAAAACAGCAGCAGGTATATGATTCACAGAATATACTGTAGGAGTATATAATCCAGAGATGGGATTAAACCCTGTGGGTCGTAAACTACGCTCATATTCCTCCACGCTGGACCTGAAGAGCGGACCGTAAAGACTCTTTTAAAGGTGAGGAGACCTACCAATCAGCTGGATCTGGAGCTCTACGTGTAAACAGACGGAATAAACAGAATAAAAGTCGGTCTTTTATTTTGAAAATCACACTGTTGTTACGTGTGTTTGTAATGATCTTTAACTGAGTGATGTCTTAATTATAACCTGTCAACAGACGCAGCTTTAATGAGCTTTAGCTTCATGTGGTTCAGAGTGTTTATGTTTAATACTGTGTGTTTTATCTCTGTTAGTATGAAATGGAACTTAATGAATCAAATAAGAGAAGAAGCTGCAGAAAGAACAAAATTTACAAAAATCCAACAGAAAAACCTGCAGAAATCCTCCCCTTTAAGAGCTTTAGACCGCTGATAACACAAACTACGGCAGTGAAATATTAAAGCTGCTAACTCTCTGAACCTAAACTTCACGTCAGCTGATCCACCTGAAGAAGAAGGATGGACATGAGGAGACGTCTTCAGATGTGGAAACCATCTGCTGTTTAACATGAATCTTTAGTTTTCTTCGTTTCCTCTCCTCTCGTTATTTTTCAGATACATTTTTAAAGCAGCATCAGGAACTGTAAAAACCGGACTTCCTCTCACCTCCCTCCCTCCTTTAGTGTTCCTGCTCACTCGCCCCCCCTGTCCCCTCCCTGGTCCCCCTCTTTATCTGTCCCGAGGTCCGGCAGTGACGGAGCACTCGTGGAGAAGAATAAGGCAGCTCGCTCTCTAAAGAATAACAAAAGGAGCTGGAAGAAGAAAAGGCAGGAATTCCTCGGCTCTGATGTAACTCCTTTCACTTGGAGAGTCCTGCTGCTCTCCGTCCAGCCTCCTCCTCCTCCTCCACCTCCTCCACCTCCTCTTCTCCCATACACCGAGTCCCTGAGCCGGGTTTCTGCACGCTTCACAACAACAACAATAAAAAAAACACGCCGCTGCTGCTGCCATCCAACATTTAAGCTCTCTGGGAGCGAATCCCAAATTTTGGATCCAAATTTGAAACAATGAAAAAATCGAACAAACGTGTTTGAAGCAGATGTGAACAAATGTGGGAAAGGATGGAGACGGATTAGAGAAATAATCCAGAGAGGCTGTTTTAATAAAAGGTTAAGCACATGCTCAACAGCTGCAAAAGGACGTCAGATTGGGATAATTTCATTTGTCAGATTGTGGCCCCTGATCTCCCAATAACAGCTCTGATGGAGGTTTGAGACGAAGCCTGAATGGATCTCTCTGTGATCGTCTATCAAACACCTTCTTCTGCAGCAGTTTTCTGCAAGTATCTGAGAGTGTTTTTCAAGAGTGAACAAAAAACAGCCTTTTCCCATCATCCCCTTCACCGTCCACCCTCCTCTCTTCACCTCCTCCCCTGTTTCCCATCATCCTCCCCCTCCTCTCTCCCTCTCTTGTCTTTCTTTCTTTCTTTCTTTGGCAGCAGGATTGGTGTTGCCCAAGTGACCCGACCCATGCCGAGCAAACAGCTGAAAAGATGCCACGTCTCTCTCTCTCTCTCTCTCTCTCTCTCTGTCTCCTCAGCTCTTCTTCTTCTTCTGACTTTTATTTGTTGACACTCCCACCTTTGTTCACTCTTCCTCACTCACACTGATTCATAATTTTCTCCTCCTCCTCATCTCCTCTCTCTTTTTTTTCCAGTGTTCCTCCTCGTCCTCTCCTTCTTTCTTTCTTTCCGTCTCCCTGTTGAACCTGCTCTCTCTCTCTCTCTCTCTCTCTCTCTCTCTCTCTCTCGTGGCAGAGCTGCTCAGCGCTCAGGGAGAGGAGGAAAATAAAGAAGGAAAAACAACAATAAGAGCTCAGTACCAGTTTGAAAAGTTTGCCAGGGAAACCCTCAGACCTGAAAACCCGACAGTCGAGCCAGAATCGGATGTCTCTCTGTGGAACGAGATGATTTGTTTAAAACCAAAGTCCAAACATTTGATGACATTATTTCGACTTGAAAACCACTGATTTAGAAACCACAAACCCGTGTTTGTGTTCCCATTATAATCACTGCTGCTGAATGTCAATATTACAGTATTATATTTAATTAAAGGGCACAGGTCCTTTATTACCAGAGGACACAAAAGTACCATCCTTCTATTACTTTAATCATTATATTATATTATATTACATAATATCACATCATATTAAATCATGTCATACAATATTCTACGATACGATATGACATTATATCATATCATATTATATTACATTTTATCATATCATACTGTACTATATCATATTAAATTATATATCATACTATATTATATTACATCATATCAAATCATACTATATTATATCATACTATATCATGTCTTATTATGTTATATTATATTAAATAATATATTATATTATATCATATTAAACGGGCTGTCAAACGATTGATCTTCTTGAATTATGATTTTATTTTCTGATAGACAGATTAAATTATATAATATAACATTAAACCACTTTATATAAAACATTAAATCAAACTATATTATGTAAAAAATTTTACAATCTATTCTATTTTATCCAATTCTATTCTAATGTGCTACATTTTAAGACAATATATTATAATCATTATATCATATAACACTATATCACAGTATTGAATGTAAACGTGTTAAATTCTATTGAATTCTAGATTTTTCAGTGTAGTAAAGTATCAAACAGTTACACTCTATGATGCTCTACTCTATCCTCTTCCATCAGATAACATTGGATTATAAATTTCATGACATTATATTGTATCAAACATTGTTATGTTATACTGTATAAGACATTACATAACACTGTATTTATGTTCTTTTCTATATTACCACATGTAATCACATTCTATATATCATATTATAATGTATTATTATGGTATCTCATCTCATAGTATATTATATTATATCATATTACATCATATCATATCAAATCTCATCTCATACCATATTATATCATATTTGATGAGGCTGTACGGTGGCTCAGTTGTTTTTGTATTTGTGTCAAACTTGAGTTAGTTTAGTAGAAACACATGAACAGGATATCGACTTTACTCTACAGGACAGTGAAAACGGAGCTCAATATGTTCAGAAACGCAGCAGTGTGTTAACCAAGAACTCAAAACTATTCTGCAAACACACAAACAGGTTTCAGGATTAACTTCATTCAGTCACGAGGAAAATCGAATCTCATCTTATGATTGAGAAAAAAAAAAAAACGATCAATATTCTTAAAAATCATCAAGTCAGAGTTCATCCAGGTGAGCGGAAACACCTGACGGACCACAGTGAGTGTGAGTGTGTGATGAGAGCAGACAGCTGGAATAATGATGCTGCTCTGGGTCTTCCCCACAGACACACACAAAAACACACACACACACACGGACAAACACACACACACCAATGGAAAGAATGCACACTCACAAAAACACACTGAGGTCCTGGCTCACACATCCAACTGAGACAACTATATATACACACCTAATCACCCACATGCTCATTTGTCTTCTACACACACACACACACACACACACTCACACACACACACCTCGTTTGTGTCCTCGCAGGGCCCGTGTGGTAACTGGACCTCGTGTGAATTCTTGGTCGACCCAAACAAGTTCCTCAGCGTTCTGATTTTACTCACACCCTCACAAACACTCACTCTCACACACACACACACACACACACACACACACACACACACACACACACACTCGGTGACCGTCACTAAATAATGAAGTGACAGAAAACAGTCTCTCTCTCTCTCTCTCTCTCTCTCTTTTCTTGTTCATCTGGTTTTCTCCCTCTCCTCTCGTCCTTTTCCACTCCTCCGTCTGCTTTTGTCTGCTTTTGTCATCCTCTTCCTCCTTCTGCTTATGTCTTCATCACAAACTCAGTGAGGAGTGAAAACACCTTCTCTGGCGTTCATGTACATGTGTGTTTCCCCCTCGTCCAATCATCTGAGAGGATTATTCAGGAGTTTGAGAAACTGTTTGAGTTTGCAGTTTTACTCCTCTAAAGGAAAATCTAGACCATCATATTTCAGAGTCCAGGACCTCGGACCACTGCAGCACTGAGACAGAAGATGAGTCTGGTTCTGCTGGAGGTTCCCGCCTGTTTCTGCCCGCCTGTTTTTACGGCGCGCTGCAGCTTTAAAACTGTCAGGTTAGCATGACACCGAGATAGTTGGGCTGAGCTTTCTGGATTAAAGGTGGGAACAGCTGAGAAAACTCCTTTTAGACCGGACCGTCCCACCTCAGTCCGGTCTGACAGGTCTGCAGGGACCTGACCCCGACCCGACCCCGGCGTAGAATCTCAGTGAAACTCGGAGCGCTGCTGACGGCGCTCTGAGGTCGGTTGTGCGTTCGCTCCTGCAGACGTCTCACTCAGCAGCTCCGAATGAAGCAGATGTTTGCTGCTAATGGACTCATGACAAGTCAGAGCAACCTGCACACACACTGACCTCCTGAGTATGTCTGTGTGTGTCCGTGTGTGTGTGTCTCTGGAAACATGTCCATGGTTACACACACACACACACACACACACACAGACTCACACTGAGCAGCTCCAGCTCTGATACTCGTGGAGCTTCATCTCCCCTGGTGGTGTCTGGTATCACACAACTGCCCTGATGAAGCCACACCTGTCACACACACACGCTAACACACACTGTTACACACACACACACACACACACACACACGCTAACACACACTGTTACACTTACACACACTCCTCCTCCCACACTGCTCTGCACCCTGAAGCCTCAAAGTTAACCAAACATCCCCTCCCTCAGATTAAGTGTGTGTGTGTTTGTGTGTACTTTAAGTGTGTTCTTGTATGTCAGTGAGCGTGTGTATCCCTGTGTGCATGTGTGTGTTCGTGCACGTGTGTTATTTCAGGACTTACAGCCAAGTTCAATTTCGTGTTTTTGTCTATTATTAGTGTGAGTGCATCCGTCTATCTTGGTCCCGTGTGTGTCGGTGTGTTTCTGCGTGTGTGTTTGTGTGTGTGTGTGAGTGTGTGTGTGTGTGTGTGTGAGTGATGTGGACAGTGTCAGCTGGTCTAAGCCTCCTGGTCCCCACCCTCTTACAGCCTCAAATCCCCCCAAATCCATCTCTGCTCTCCATGTGACTACAACTGCCCCTCTACCCGTCAGCTGCCCTCACTCTGCTGTCATCCTCTCTCTCTCTCTCTCTCTCTCTCACACACACACACACACACACACACACACAAACACACACACACACACACACACACACACCTTTCTCCTTCTCTTTTACCAGAGTGGGAGGGGCCAAAGTTCATCAGCTGTGTCATTATTCACTGTATCACGTCCTCACCAACATGTTCCCGACTTAACGAACACGGCGACTTATTCTGACGCCCAAAACCTTCGTAACAATAAATATTGGTATTGGTTAGGGCTGGGCGATATGTCCTCAAATCAATATCACGATATATTGATCAGTTCAAATGGACGATAACTACTCCACATTAACTTCGTCTACTTCAGCCGCTCCAACTTTCTCTCCGTCCTCCATCTCCTCACCTGTCTGTCCCTCTTTGTTACAGACTGGATGGGGCGGAGTCACGTCTCTGACGTAGGACAGCGTCTTAAAGGGACATGAGACCATAGCCTACCTACACACATCCAAAAACAACTTTGATTTATTTATTCTTTAGACACTGAATATGACGATACGGGCAAAATGACGTCGTTTTTTGTCGTAAATTTGTCGTATCTGTAAATTTTCGGTTTATCGCCCAGCCCTAGTATCGGTGTCACGGATATCCTTGTTTTTTGCTGCTTTCATTGCAAACTCATCTCTGTATTCATTCTAGGGCTGGGACGATATTCTTTTCTCCTGATTCGATTCTTGTACGATTTCTAAGATGCCAATTGGATTTAAATTGCGTTTCTACGATATTGTCGATTTCCTCGATATTCAGTCGGCATTTTTAACTCCAGTGAAACGGTTGAATGATTATAATCGTCTACAGACTATTTCAGGAACCATATTTCCCCAAAAAATGCTCATCACATGTAAGTCAGTTTTTAAGATTTATTCTCAAATTTGAAAAAAAAAAAAGATTTTTCAACATTAAAATCGATTTAAAAATTGTAAAACAAAAAAATGCGAAACTTCTGTGAATCGATTTTTTTTTTTTTCTCCCACCCCTAATTTACTCACTGAGGTCAAGAGGACCATTCAACGGTCGGGTTACGATGAGAGCGCCCTCTGCTGAATCAAACAGGAAACTACATCAGACGGTAAATATCAAACTGTGAATCTAAACGGCTCGTTACTGTTTTAATTTGAACTTTTAATTAATTAATAATCGTTTCATTGATTATTAGGAATCACCACGACCTTCTCATGACCTGAACTTGGACATTAACAGAGATCCTACAACAGTCACAGTAATATCATGGACTCTGTCTAACATGCACCTGAACCTGAGACCCACATCCCAACAGACGGGGGTCTTACAGAGTCCCCCTAATCGGACTCTAAACTCTATTGATACTGAATTTACTGAACTGACTCGGTTTGATCCACGTTAGAGGAGTGTGGTCTCTGCTCCTCCTCACTACCATCCCACATTCCTCTCACTTCCTCTCGTTTCCCTCCCAGCTGAACACACCCTTTGTCTTCTGACTCATGCTACTGAGAAACACGTGCACACACACAAACACGCACACACACACACACACACACAGACAGAGAAAGCATGCGTAGCCGTCAGTGTGTCTGCTGCTTTATGAGAGCTCTCGTCTCACTTTATCATCACTTTCATAACTTTGACGAGCGTCGGCTGTTTAAACTCGACCCTCAGAACAATCCCTCGACCCTTTAGCGCCGCAGTGATGACATCACATGTGCCATGCAGCGGCGGCGGCGGCGGGCTAATGGAGGGTCTACCTCCTGTAATGACAGTGCCTCCCTCTTTTACTGGAGCAGATAATAATGAGGAAAAACTTCAGAGTCTGGCTTCCCCTGAAGGAAACATCACATAAGTGCCTCTGATTTCCAAACTGCTGTGAGTTAACTCCACTTTAAAGGATCATTACGTGTTTTTATTAAAACATTAATTATCAACTGAAGCGAACAAAGCTTCAGTGTTTTCCTCTATGGTTATAAATTGTTTGTTATATGTCAATATATGGACCAAAACCGTGAAAACTATTTTTTTCTTACAGCTTCACAGATGTAAACAAACTTTAAACAGCATCATAACTATTTCTGAAGATTGGACCTTTGACCAGCTGAACTTTTGAGATTTTAAACTGCAGATATTTCACCAAGTTTGACTCAGAGTCTCATAAATCTGCTCTAAGTTGCTTTTTCAATCACAGTTTTCTCGCAGCTCTTCGGTCTCGAAACTGCAGAGACTTTAAAGCTCCTGTCAGGAGTTTTTTCATTGTTTTTAAAATCCTCAAAATGACCTAAGGGAGCAGAAAAGGACCTGAATTTATAATGTTGAATGCAAACAGGATGGGCATACAGGGGACGAGACAAGCAAAGACTGCTCTGTCCACAGGGGGCGCCAAAATCGACACAGAATGAAAGTTCCTCATAGGAGCTTTAACTTTGTCTTCATCCAAAGTTTAGAAACACGTCCAAAAAAGACCCGCCCCCTTTAATAAGACATGACTCTATCTCACAAGATTAAACAGAGAAGCTGCACACGCTCAGAAACACACTCTCTGACCCCGCCATGCTCGTCTGTGATTGGCTGCAGCTCCATATGATGAAGCATACAGGGAACCAGAGAGAGCTGTGTAATCGCTCGCTGCACGTGGACCAGAGTTTGACCCTTCTGCACGAACACACACGCGCACACACACACACACACACACACACACACACACACACACACACACACACACACACACACACAACGTTTATTCAACAAAGCTCATCAACCATGGAGACCAGCATGCCTGCTCCTTTACATCATCATCATCATCACACACAATCTGGTCCCTATTTGTTACAGCTGGGACTGCACAGAGTGTGTGTGTGTGTGTGTGTGTGTGTGTGTGTGTGTGTGTGTGTGTGTGTGTGTGTGTGTGAGTGTGTGTGTGTGTGTGTGTGTGTGTGAGTGTGTGAGTGAGAGCGTGAGTATGTTTTAGTGAGCCTGAGATCATGCCTGCATGTGTGTGTGTGTGTGTGTGTGTGTGTGTGTGTGTGTGTGTGTGTGTGTGTGTGTGTGTGTGTGTGCGTGTGTGTGTGTGCAGAGACTTGGCTCCGCTCTGAGGACACGTAGCCTGAGAAAGTGAAAACTCTGCAGAGCCTCTTACACCAAAAACATCCTCAACTGCAGTTGAACTCGGCCGGCTTGTTCCTTCACGCGCTGCGAATAAATCGCTGGAGGATTTGCTCAGACGCAGACTCCTCTCCCTCCAGCTCGGTATGAATTCATGCTGAAAAAGCAAATCAAACCCTCAGTAGCAGCAGAGCTACTATAAACTCTAATCCAACTTTTACTCTGTGAGAAAGTTGATTAACGAGAGTCCAAGTCGGATTGTTCGATCGGCGGCCAACAAAAGCAGTTTTTTCTTGACTCCTCTCTCTGGTGTGGTGTCATGTCAGAGTCGGTGGTTTGACAGTCAGGAGCTGAATGAAGATGACAGCTCCTGTTATCCTCTTAATTTACAGTTGGCTCTATACTCCCTGAGAGGGACGACGACTGTGACAGTGGAAGAGAACAAACGCCACCTGCTCTGATCCCCGTCAGCTCTTCAGCCTCTCTCTGAGCTCATCTGCTAATTCTAACCAGCCCATGGTATAGACCAGATAACGCTGGGGGACGTGTCATGTAATCCAACACTGAGGACATGTCTGTATTAACATTTCTGCAGCATGAAAACAGGACGCTGCTGTGATCTTATCATGACTCTAACTCCTGCTGTACGGTCTACATCAGAGGGTCTGAACCCTGGAGGAGGGGAGTTTTTCCACATGTGCTCACCTCGTCTAAACAAAAGGTGAAAGAGCTTCAGCCGAGTCCAGGTACCTCTGTGGATCAAGAGACCAGAGCCGGGTCCTAAAGCTCTCAGCTGCCGTCTCTATCCTCAAACAAACAAGTTTTTAAAAACACCTGCTAGGGCTGGACGATAAAACCATAACGATATATATCCAAGTATGAACCAACCAGGTGAAGCCGACAGCACTGTTGGTGAGAAACAAAGAAAATGAGTGCTACCCCCGACAGAAATGACCATGAAGGCTCAACAGATGACCACATCAATGTCAACCACAACACTGGCGTTAGGAAAACGTCGGTGGTGTGGAGGTATTTTGGTTTTTGGAGGTCGGACATGAAGCAGAGTAATGTGGACTGTAAATTATGTCGAGTACATGTTCTCACAAAGTCGGGGAATACCTCAAATCTTTTTCACCACCTGAAGCAGCGCCACGCCGCAGAGCACGCGCAACGCAAAAGGTTACAAACCCCGAGAGGAGCGAGGAGCCCGTGGCGCCTGAAACAGACGACCATTCAGTCGTCTTTCTCTAGAGCGACGCCTTACGACAAAACGCCAAAGAGACACAAAGACCTCACAGATGCAGGAGATTATTGTGTTGGAAAAGACATGAGACCAAGAAACACTGTTAGATTTTTAGATCCTGATATTGATCGATATCGAAGTTTTTAAAACCTCCCTCCACGCTGAGCAGAGCTCCAGAGTCCTCCACGTCCAAAAACCAAAACGCCGAATAAACCAGGTGAGACGCTTCAGGTCGGTCCTGACAGCAGAGACCAACGATCACCAGACCAGAGAGGGGGGGGCTGGTCTCAGGTCTGAGTTTCATGTTTAAAGAGACGAAACAGGACATGATCAGATCACTTCAGTGTGTGTGTGTGTGTGTGTGTGTGTGTGTGTGTGATGGACATGTCTGTAATTAGATGAAATGACAAGAAATTCTGAGAGGAAAAGGAGAAGATACGGCGTTATCTCTCCTCATCTCTCTCTCTCTCTGTGGTGTGTAAGTAGGCGGAAGAAAGTAGCAATTAGCAATCAGCTAAAACACTAATTAGCTCTCTCACTCTCTCTCTCTCTCTCTCTCTCTCTCTCTCTCTCTCTCTCTCTCTCTGTGTCTGAACATGCATGTGCAGTCTGACTTGTGTGCGCTTTGCATGTGTTCTGGCTCATGCGTGTTTGCATGTGCGTGAGTGAGCGTAGGGGGCGGGGCCTGCCTGGAAGTGTGACCTCATCTTTATTAATGACAACCATATGGAAACATGATCGAATGATTTACAGCCGACGTAGAAAACAACAGGCGGCTGCAGGCTGGACCGGGATGAAAGTGGAGTTTAACAGATCGAGGCTCGACGTTATTGATGAGGACACACACACACACAGGAACACAGGAACACACACACACACACACACACACCGAAGGATTGATAGCTGCTGGATGACACAGACTGTGAACACACCAGAAAATATGTGGCCGAGTGTTTTATGGGGAAAAGGACTGAAAAAGAAAGAGAGAGGAGAGTCAGAATGTGAAAGTGATTATCCTCCTCTGCCGTGATAAGACGACGTTCAAATATAACATGAAGTAAACTGATCTCTCTGTTTTCTGCTCATGAGAGTTTTGAAGCATCAAGACTGAAGAAGCAGAAATGAAAACAACCTGAAGTCCAAAAGGACAAATGTAGGATACAAAAGAGAGATTCACTGAAGTGCATAAGGAGTACGATAATAAATATACCGTATTTTCAGGTCATAACGTGCAGCGGATTGTAGGACGCATTAAGCAAAATAACTTAGTCCAGTAAATCAGTTAACTCAGTTTTAACGACAAATACTGGTACAGAAAAATACGCCAGGGTTTCCCCGACATGCAACTGATCGTGGCGCCACCACACCTTAAAAAAATTAGTTTTTATCTCACATCGCTCTACCTCGCTCTCGTATGTATCAGCAGTGTTTACCCTACATTCATTCAGCAGCGGCCCCTGCTGGATGATTCTACTTATGCCATGTGAGCACAACAACAACACACGACGTTATTTCCGACTTGTGAGTCATCAAAGAGCCCATCACATCCTGTCGGACCCTCTTCCACTAAAGTCAAGAGTAACGTTTAAACTTATACAGGATCTGTATAGTGACTAGCGTGGGTAATGAAACATGAATGTAACATGTTACGTTACCCACGCCACAGCTGAAAAAACGTCTAGAGTAAACACGGTACGCTCACTCATTCATTCATTCCTCTTCCACAAATCCATCGACTATAATTCTCTGTCTTCAGTGTCGAAGTTAAACAGCTGTGTGATTTCAGTATCGAGCATGTCTGGATCCCTCTCGTCATTATCTGAGTCGGTCTTGTTGCTGTTTCCGTTTTTTTACCGTAATGTTCTGAATATCCATTGAGCGCAGCAGCTTCGTTGCTTACCGAAGTCGTACTTACACATTTGGACAGATTTTTGAGCGCACTGTACCACAAAATCAGTCAATAAACACAACAAATAATCATACAGAAGGTGCGCTCTCAATTTTTGAGAAAATTTAAAGATTTTAAGTGCCCCTTATAGTCCGATAAATACGGTAAACATAACAGCAGCCTGTGGGAACATGATGCTTGTTCCAGTAAATGTTAAATATCCTGATGTTACTCAGTGAAAATCACTAAATTAACCACAATAATAAAAAACAGTAAAACCTGTCATCATCATCCTGGGGTCAAAGGTCATGCATCCTATCAGCCAATCAGCACCTTCCTATATGGTTGTCCTCTGATCATGTGACCATCTCAGAACTCTGTCTGTCTGTCTGACCTCTGACTGTAAACACACTCTCACAAAAACACACACCGTCACAGCTGTGTGTCGCATATGACCACACACACACACACACACACACACACACACACACACACACACACACACACACACACACACAGAGTCAATAATCAGGCTCAGAGCAACATAATTAAAGTGAGAGTCCAGCCGGTGTGTGTGTGTGTGTGTGTGTGTGTCAGAGAGACGATACGACAGCTGACGGCTTTGTGGGACCCTCTGAGGGTTTTGGGGGGGTTAATCATGGGGGGTGTATAGTATGTGTTGTTGGGGTTAGGGGGCGTGGTCTATAGGAGGCTCGGGTGGGGGGGATTGAGGAGCTTTCACTGAGGGATTAGAAATAATGGAAGTTTGGGGGTGGGGGGGTCTGGGCAGCTGTGGACCCAGCTCCTTTGTGAGGGAGAGGTGTGTGTGTGTGTGTGTGTGTGTGTGTGTGTGTGTGTGTGAGACAGAGGGGTTAAGGGGTCCCAGAGGGCCACCTTTGTCCCCCCCCGACAGAGACTGAGGGGGGGACAAAAAACTGCAATTTCACAGCTGGCTCTTTGTCTCTCGCTCTCTCTCTCTCTTTGTTTGCCACACTCACCTTCCTCCTTAAAGGGGAGGACACTCACATATAAAAGAATCTCTACAGTGAAGGAACCTGCTCCTTTAAGAGCGCGCACACACACACACACACACACACACACACACACATCTGTGCTGGTGCGTGCGTTTACGGTACCGGGAGACATTAGCAGATTTAGACCTTTTCGATCTGACCCCTTTGTGCGAGCAGAGGCACGTTGCCATGACAACCACGAATGCTAAGTGTCATTGTTGTAGCCGGCCAATCAGGGAAGAGCACACCCTCCTGCTCCAGTGTGAAAGTGTTTGATTTTTACCTCGCCGTAGTCGAAGTTTGTGAACGTTTCATCGGTTTGATTTGATTTCTGTTAAATTTAAAAATATTTTCTCTACTTCAGTTTCAGAGTTTATCGACTTTTTTTACTTTAATGTCGTCATGTACCGGTTTAACATCCACCCACCCGTCTATCAGAGTTCCTTCACAGACGAACGTTTAATAAAAAGTGAAAACACGTGCGTCGTTAAAGGCGCAGCTTCAAGTCCGTCATAAAAACGTGGTTTATTTTTCGCCGCCCCTGCTTTAATAACGTGTTATTGTTCCCCGTAAGTATCTCATCCAGAAAAGTCCTCCTCATTACCCCCTGCATGCAGGATTTATGATGTTATTAAAAGCTGACACCGAGTTTGCAGCCTCCACTTCCTGATTTCAGCGACTCGAGGACAGCAGGCGAGGGGAGCTGGACGCCGACCAGGACGGGAAGAAAGACATCTCTCTGTGTGCGTCTCCCTCGCTCCCTTACACCTGCTAGACACCAGTCTAGGGAGGAGGGGGGAGGAGGGGGAGGGCAGAGAGGGGCTCCTCTTGTAGGAGAGCTGTCACTTTGATTCTCATCACCAAGGCAACGGGTTCGCAGTCCCACAATCCTCTGCTTTGTCTGATGGGGGTGGGGGTGAGAGTGTGTGTGTGTATGCGGTTGCCGTGCTCTGCCTCTATAAACCTGCATCAAACACACACACACAGAATACACGCACACACACACACACACACTCGTGCACCAAGGTTGGTACCGTCGTCAGAGCAGGTTGTTAAAGCAGCAAATCGTCATGGCGACACAGAGACAAATCTGACTATGTCGGCTATTTAAGGAGCGAGCAAACCAGCTGAAATTGCACAGTTTGAATTTGTGAGAGTGTGTGTGTGTGTGTATGTGTGTGTGTGTGTGTGTGTGCGTGTAGTGTGTGTGTGTGTGTGTGTGTGTAGTGTCTCTCTACATGATAAAGATGTTTTATGAAGAGGACAGAGCTCCGCTGCTTAGCCAGCTCCTCATAGAGAGGAGCTTTGTCATGAGGAGTGACAGATGAGAGTGGAAGGATGACAGGAGAGAGAGAGAGAGAGAAAGAGAGAGAGAGGGAGAGAGAGAGAGAGAGAGAGAGGGAGAGAGAGAGAGAGAGAGAGAGAGGGAGAGAGAGAGAGAGAGAGAGAGAGGGAGGGAGAGAGAGAGAGAGAGAGAGAGAGAGGGAGAGAGAGAGAGAGAGAGAGAGGGAGAGAGAGAGAGAGAGAGCACAGACTCAGCCTCAGGACATCCTTGAGTCTCATTAAAGGTTCACAGTTTAACAGTTTAATTGTCTTCATATTAAAATCACTCAGATCTGCTTCATAAACTCTGAAGTTTAAGGGAAATTCTGGTGTAGAATAAATTCAGGGTCAAACCCACAGTAACACCGAGTTAGACCCCCCCTCCAGAGATGAATGTTGTCGACCGCTTACTTCTCTAGTTATACCAACTTTAGTAACGACCGCAGGATAGAAATACAGAGAGCCACGCCCTCAACCAAAACGCCACTCTATAGCCACAAATAATGCTCAGAACAGCACCTAACTTCATCAACAGGACGTATAGGGTCACAGACATAGTACTAGACACCAAACATCTTTTTAACTTTGACTCATTTCTTTAGCAAAGAGACTAAACACAACTCACCTACTCTCTTCCAGCAGACGCTTGTTTGTAGAGAGACCTCAGGCCAGTCCATTACAGACTACAGCGGGGTGCCGCAGCTCAAGGAAGAACATTTATGATCATTTCTTCATCATTTCCTTGAAGTAATAATCATCATATTAATCATTTTACAGACGCGGTAGTTCTTCTGTCTTAGCGTCTCAGTCTGATTGTATTTCCATGAAGAAATGATCATAAATGTTCTTCCTTGAGCTGCGGCACCCCGCTGTAGTCTGTAATGGACTGGCCTGAGGTCTCACTTCAAACAAGCAGCTGCTGGAAGAGAGTAGGTGAGTTGTAGGTGAGCTGTTCTCAGTCAGGAGGCTGCTCCTCATGTTCTCCTCATGTTCTCTTTAGTCACACTCGAACCTGCTGCTCATGATCACTAACAC